CCACCTGGGCACACAGAGGACTGGGTGACTTGGAAGGTGCTGAATAGACTGCGCTCTGGCACCACAAGATGCAGAGCCAACCTTCAGAAATGGGGCTACAAAGTGGAATCCTCGACATGCGAGTGCGGAGAGGAGCAAACCACTGACCACCTGCTGCAATGCAACCTGAGCCCTGCCATATGCACAATGGAGGACCTTCTTGCAGCAACACCAGAAGCATTCCAAGTGGCCAGATACTGGTCAAAGGACATTTAATCAACTACCAAACTCACACATTTTGTAGTTTCTCTGTTTGTTTGCTTTGTTCTGATGGAAATGTAATATAACTGACTGGCTGCCCTGACACGAGAAATAATAAAATAAAGCTGGATGACAACTCTTAGTTTTCCACTAGGGCAGCCAATAATATCCTTCATTCCAATAATATCCAGAAGACCAGAGGATTCCCACCCCTGATTTAAAGTGTACTTGTTCTCCAAAAAGGCAACAAAACGGTACTTACCTGAAACAAAGCAAAACCCTATTGGTGCTTTGAAAAATGACACACACGAGAAAATGGCACCTAATAGGAAATGCATATTGAACCACAATATAAAATAATGCATAGAAAAATAAAAAGGATTCTTGAAGGATGCTGCAAGAATTTCAGAGATATTAACTGTTTTTTATTTGTATTAATATAACGATTTACATATTCTATGGCTTTAAACTTTGTAATATGCTTCAACTGCACCTTGTTAAAACTTCTATTTTAAGCTGCCTTGACTCCTAGATTGTGCGAAAGGTGGATCATACATAAAACAAATAAGTCACTGAGGAAAAGATGCAACTGTTTTCACAGACAGGAGTATCGTATCTTAATTTGGATGAACAAAACAAACTAGTAAAATTGGAGAAAAATCTCACAAGGGCATACAAAGTGTGTCACCAACATGAAATGTTTAGAAGGCTCTAGTATAGTGGTTTCAATCTTGGTCTAGGACTCTGAGATGTGGGAAGGGGGATTGCCTGCCAACCCCCCCCAAATTTTCATGCAACAATTATAGGTTTAAAACTGGGCACCTTTATTAATTGTTACCTAATTAAATCAATAACTGAATCTCCTAATTAGACTAGCATGAACGTGTATAAAGCCGAGGTGGTGTCCCTTCCCGGCCTACCCCTCGGCTCAATAGGGCGAAGCACCCAGTTCCCGGGTGACATAAACCTGGGTCACCTTTTAGCTAATGTGTTGGAGGAATCTTCCCCAAGGATGTTGAGTAAGACCCTCCCCATTTCAAAGACATTTATTCTGTAGTCACCCCGGTTCGAGTGACAACCGCTGATGTTTTATGTTAATGGCTTTTGTCCCAAAAGGGGATGCTTTGGGTGCACACTAAATGTATTTCTTATTATAGCTGCTTTCCAGCTAAACCTATTTATAACCACCAAAACCCAATCTGCCCCCTAGTAACAGTATAAGATAGGCGAAAAAACCCTCCTAGAAACATAGAAGGGGAAAAAATTCCTATCTGGCTCCCTAAGGCAACCAATAATTATACTGTTAATGGGTGGGGGTTTTTTTGTGTTGTGTCAGGAGCAACTTGAAAGACTGCAAGTTGCTTCTGGTGTGAGAGAATTGGCCGTCTGCAAGGACGTTGCCCAGGGGACACCCGGATGTTTGGATGTGTTACCATACTTGTGGGAGGCTTCTCTCATGTCCCCGCATGAAGAGCTGGAGCTGACAGAGGGAGCTCATCCTCACTCTCCCCAGATTCGAACCTGTGACCTGTCGGTCTTCAGTCCTGCTGGCACAGGGGTTTAACCCACTGTGCCACTGGAGAGGTGAGGTGGGTCGACGTCAAGAAAAGACTGAGCCGGAGGAAGGCTATTTCCCTCTCGGCTCCGCCCCCAAAGTAGTTCCATCGGGAACTACTTTGGGTTGGTTTTCATCCTTGGGGGGAGGAGGCAAAGCTCTCTCCCTTTCACCAGCTGTGCCGGTGGGGGGGAAAGGTGATTATCTGCAAACATCCCTATCACCATTTTTTTATAGGGAGAATGCATGGGACCCAATCACACTACAGAATTGTAACACTATTATTCCACTTTAGCTGTCATGGTTCCATTCTATGAAACTGAAGAGAACATAGAGACTACAGTGGCATTTTTGAGACTTATAAATTCTCTTATCTAAATTGCCAATTGCTGATTCCCCAGGACAAATCCATGGCAGATTGCGCAACAATCGTGCTACATTACTGTAATGTGAATGGGCCCCGGGGTAAAGGGTGAAAGCAGACAAAATGCGATATATATTTTTCTTCATCTTATCTTAGTTAATTAGCATGTGTTGCTTTATCTTGCTACCACATTGTTCTGATTTTCTTATCATCAAAACTCCATCCGCTCCTCCTATTGCACCCTAGCAGTGCTTTTTCTAATTTTAGAACTGAGCAGATTCTCTTCCATCACCCACTTTAGCTCCGAGTCCTTTGCCATATTTATTTGTCTTTGCAAGCTTCACTGCCATGAGTGATGCTGCCATGAGTGCATGAAAAAAGGGGAAACAGAATCGCTGTGCTCTTTCACTGCATTGTGATAAAGTATTCCTCTATCAAGCAAGTCAACCAAGATTCTCTATATTGTGTGTGTAATAACATATTTCTGGAGGCAGACAAAATATGTAAATTTCGTATCATTTTTAATTTTTTACATTAGGACTCTGGGAGAGGAGAGTTTGAATTTCAGGACAACTATAGAAACCCACTGGGTGATTTTGTGAAACCCATACTCTCTCTATCCTAGGCCCCGTCTACACTGCCCTGTATCCCAGGATCTGATCTCAGGTTATCTGCTTTGAAATGGATTATATGAGTCTCCACTGCCAGAAAACAAGGAATAAGCAGATAATCTTGGATCAGATCCTAGGATATAGGGACAGTGTATAAAGGGCTTTAGAAGAAAATAATGGAATACCGTCTCTGAACAAATCTTTGTTAGGGTTACCTATGTCAGAGGGTCCTTCAACACACCACAGTGAGGAGGAAGTGGATAGGCAACTAGAGAACAGCTTCTGCAGCCTTGTCCCTCACAATCTCATGGCTGTTGTCCATATTCAAGGAAATTCCATCCAATGCCTTTCAGATCTCAAGTATAAACTATATATGGAAGTAGTCACCGATATTATCTTGCATGACCATGGTTCTTCTGACTCCCTTCCTTTTTGCTTCATCTAGTTCAGGTGGGAATCATGGAGCCTTCTATATGTGGCTTGATTGGAAACACTGTTATTCTTATCTAGCACAGTTAATCCTGAAGTGCATCTATATTGTAGGCATAATGCTGCTTGACACCACTTTAACTGCTATAGCTTAACACTATGATATCATGGGAGCTGTAGTTTTACAAGGCCTTTAGTCTTCTCTGCCAAAGGGTGCTGGTGTCTCACTAAACTACAACCCCTATGCTTTCACAGCATTGAGCCATGGCATTTAAATTGGTGTCAAACTGCATTAATTCTACAGAATAGATGCACCCTTTCTCTAAAACTCAAAATGCTGCACAACATTGTCTCATTTCGCTCTAATATTTATGACTTATGCAATAAAAATGGAGCCTTCTATATGTGGCTTGAACATATAAATATAATAAACAAAATAAATAAGACATAATACATCTTCAATAGTCCCATATATCAAAAGAGGAGAAATACTTTAGCATGAACTCATTGCCACTCAGAAATGACGAGCACATAATACTAGGATGGCTGTCGGAACCCAGATGCCTTAAAGAGGCAGGCACAGGAGTATATCCAAAACAATAGTTTATTAAAGCAAAGCAAACAGGACTCAGAGACACTTGCTTCAGTGCCTCTGGTCAAAACTCAAAGATTGTAGCAAATTCAAGATTGTAAAACAAACTCAGACAATAATCTGGATTAAACTGGCAAAAAAACCCGGATTAAACAAGAGCCAAAGCACTCCAAAATCACACAGTTCAAAGGAAACGAACAAACAAAGAGAAGCCATCGTCCAAATGCAGTCCAAAGTCGAAGAAATCCCAGTTGAAGGTTTCAAAGTCCACAAGGCAGCGTCATCGTCAAAAGCAGTCCAAAGTCAAGGAGAGGAGAAATCCGCACTTATGAGAATCCAAGCTGGTCAGTACACAGAGCAAAACAGCAACCTGCAGATCCAGCACCCAAGCCCAACAGAAAAACGGCAGCAACAAGACCCAAGGCACGAAACCAACATTCTGCCTACTGCAAAGTTCTATCATTCCAGTGCATACATTTATCTTACAGCTCATCATCCGATGATGAGCTGCCCTCCACCCCATCCTCATCACTCTCAGCTGGCTTAGCTTCCACAGCTGAACGCCAACGCCCATCCCTCCAACTGTTCCACCTCTTGTCAAGGTCTCCCCATGATTCCACAGTATCACCTGATTGCCAATCCCCGCCACCAGAAAACCCCGCAAAAGTGTCACTAGACATTGGTTGAGTACACACATTCTGAACGTCCTGTACCTTGGTCCAATCCAGTGGCTCCTCTTCATCCCCATCACTCCCAGACCCATCATTTCCAGAAAAACCCATGAAATCCTCTTCCTCCGTGGGAGCAGTAAGTATGTCCTCGATCTCCTTTCTCTCTCCTCATCTGATTCCTGCTCTCGAATAAACCTCTTAGTCCCTCTATTCCCATCTGTATCTCCTTCCTCCTCCTCACTCATTTCACTCTCGGAGAAACCCTCAAAGGACGCTTCATCAGTGGGTGACATAAGTATCTCCCGGATCCTCTTCCTTTGCTGTTCCTCATCTAACACCTGGGCGCCTCGTTTCCCTCCTCTACCACTCCTACTACCAGTTGCAGCGTTGCCAACAGACTCTACTACAACGATGGCTTTTCACAGAGTGCTAAAATTTCCTCTAGTTCATACTACTGGCAACTGACCCTCAAGTTACAAAAGGAGAACAATGAAAAAAGAGAACCATGAGCACAACAAATGACACTTCAGAGACTTACCCCATTCTTTGGATATGCGATCCATCCAAGATCCCCCATTACTGATCGTGAGTCCAATAAATTCACTGGGGAAAACAAACAACAGAAAGATTATTTCATTGAATGTAAAACAAGAGGATACTAAATGAATGTGAAGTATCAGAAGCAACAAATGACTGTAACATCATTCTACATCCATTGCCAATAACCAATGCACAACAAAATGCAAGAAACTCTAGGTAAGTGTCAACATCACTTCATCCCACAGGCTATATGCAGCCACTAATTTCCTTTTTTCTGTGTCTCCCAGTATTTGCAATATTTCCAAGATGTATATATATATATATATATTAAAAGCAATCATGGAAGTGGGTTGCTGTGCGTTTTCCGAGCTGTATGGCCATGTTTCAGAAGCCTTCTTTCTTGACATTTCACCCAAATCTATGGCAGGCATCCTCAGAGGTTGTGAGGTCTGGTGAAAACCAGGCAAGTGAGATTTATATATCTGTGGAATGTCTAGGGTGGGAGAAAGACCTCTTGTCTATTTGAGGCAGGCGTGAATGTTGCAATTGGCCACATTTATTAGAATCTAATGACCTTGCAGTTTCAAAGCCTGGCTGGTTGCTACCTGGGGGATTCTTTGTTGGTAGGAGTTAGCTGGCCCTGATTGATTATTGTCTGGAATTCCCCGGCTTTTTTCAACATGGTCATACGGCCCAGAATAGTCAGAGCGACCCAGTGATTTTGGCCATGAATGCCTTCAACCAGACATGGAAGTTTTCTGTCAAAGTTCAGCAGAAAACAGCTAAATGCATTATAGTCACTGGGGAAAGAAATTGTGCTATAGTCAAAGAAATAGATCAACGTCAAATGACAATATTTATTTTTGGTTCAAATTAAATTATCAATATCAGTATAATAGTAATTCATTTCAAATTAAGTACAATTGAAATCATTTTATATAGAACGCATGTATTAATAAATAAGTATGAGTAGAGAGTTGTAATTTGTTAATAAAGAGTAGGGGAATCTTTATGATTTTAATAATATTTAATGAAGAACTGTAATTCGTTTCAGGTCATTTTTATTCTGTTTACATGGTTAATTTTTCCACATATATGTGCATACATCATCTCTCTCCCTCCTTCTATCTCTCTCTCGATATATAGATATAAATAAAAATGTAATGTTCGTTTGTGGAATTAACAGAACTCAAAAAACCACTGGATGAATTGACACCAAATTTGGACACAAGACACTTATCAGGCCAATGAGTGACAATCACTCATAAAAACACTGAAAAACACAGCAGAAGAGACTTAAAAAGCCAAAAAAATTACATTAAACACATGTGCAAAACCGTACACTCACACACATATATGCATTTTAAGAGACTTAAAATGCCAAATAATACTAAATACATTACAACGCATGTGCAAAACCATATATATAAATGCAAACACACATATGTAAATGCAAACACACATATATAACATATACACAAATATATACACACACAAAACACATATTTACAGACTGGGCCATAGCAATGCGTGGCAGGGGACAGCTAATCTATATAAATAAAAATTTAATGTTCGTTTGTGGGATTAACAGAACTCAAAAACCACTGGACGAATTGACACCAAATTTGGGCACAATGCACCTAACAACCCAATCTATGTCCTTCACTCAAAAAATTGATTTTTGTCATTTGGGAGTTGTAGTTGCTGGAATTTATAGTTCACCTACAATCAAAGAGCATTCTGAACCCCACCAATGATGGAATTGAGCCAGTCTTGGCACACAGAATTCCCATGACCATCAGAAAACACTAGAAGGGTTTGGTGGGCATTGATCTTGAGTTTGGGAGTTGTAGTTCACCTACACCCAGAGAGCACTGTGGCCTCAAACAATGATGGATCTGGACCAAACTTGGCACGAATATTCCATATGCCCAAATTTGAACACAGATGGAGTTTGGGGGGGGGGGGAATAGACATCGGCATTTGGGAGTTGTAGTTACTGGGATTTATAGTTCACATACAATCAAAGAGCATTCTGAACCCTGCGAATGACAGAATTGGGGCAAACTTCCCACAAAGAACTCCCATGACCAACAGAAAATACTTAAGGCCACCCAGTTCAACTCTCTTCACCAGGGCAAATGTAATCAAAGCCCTCCTGACAAAGAGCCATCCAGTCATAAATATAGATAGATAGATAGATAGATAGATAGATAGATAGATAGATATGATTCACATACAGAAAGAGATAATATCCTAGATTTGAAAGGGATCCCTAAAGAAGGACAATTATATGTTGCATATTCCAGAACAGGCAAACCAGACACTCTCCACATCAATACTGGCAAAGAAACACCAAGAAATACTACTTACCCATAAGCATAAAGAAATTACATATATTAGAAACCAACACTTTCTCATTATTTTATCTTCCAGATCACCAGACTGGGCCACAGCAATGCGTGGCAGGGGACAGCTAGTCTATAAATAAAAATGTAATGTTAGTTTGTGGGATTAACAGAGCTCAAAAACCAGTGGGCCAATTGACATCAAATTTGGACAGCATACACCTAACAACCCAATGTATGTCCTTCACTCAAAAAAATGATTTTGTCATTTGGGAGTTGTAGTTGCTGGGATTTATAGTTCACCTACAATCAGAGAGCATTCTGAATCCCACAAACGAAAGAATTGGGGCAAATTTCCCACACAGAACCCCCATGACCAACAGAAAATACTTAAGGCCATTCAGTCCAACTCTCTTCACCAGGGCAAGAAAATGTAATCAGAGCCCTCCTGACAAAGAGCCATCCAGTCATAAATATAGATAGATATAATTCACACACAGAGAGAGAGAGACAGTATCATAGATTTGAAAGGGACCCCTAAAGAAGGACTATGATATGTTGCATATTCCAGAGTAGGCAAACCAAACACTCTCCACATCAACACTGGCAAAGAAACAACAAGAAATAATGTTTACCCACAAGCATAAAGATTTTACATATATTAGAAACCAACACTTTCTCATTACTTTATTTTCCAGATCATTAGACTGGGCCACAACAATGTGTGGCAGGGAACGGTTAGTTTGTGTTTTGTGTGCCTTCAAATTGTTTCTGACTTATGGTAATCATGAGGTGAATCTTGCTTCTATTGGAAAGATTTGTTTATAAGAGGTTTTCCCTTGCTTTTTTCTGAGACTGAGAGGACCACAATTCAAGAGAGATATTGACAAGCTGGAATGTGTCCAGAGGAGGGCGACTAAAATGATCAAGGGTCTGGAGAACAAGCCCTATGAGGAGCGGCTTAAGGAGGTGGGCATGTTTAGCCTGAAGAAGAGAAGGCTGAGAGGAGATATGATAGCCATGTATAAATATGTGAGAGGAAGCCACAGGGAGGAGGGAGCAAGCTTGTTTTCTGCTTCCTTGGAGACTAGGACGCGGAACAATGGCTTCAAACTACAAGAGAGGAGATTCCATCTGAACATGAGGAAGAACTTCCTGACTGTGAGAGCCGTTCAGCAGTGGAACTCTCTGCCCCGGAGTGTGGTGGAGGCTCCTTCTTTGGAAGCTTTTAAGCAGAGGCTGGATGGCCATTTGTCAGGGGTGATTTGAATGCAATATTCCTGCTTCTTGGCAGGGGGTTGGACTGGATGGCCCATGAGGTCTCTTCCAACTCTTTGATTCTATTATTCTATGATATAATTTGCCCACAGTTATGCAGTAGATTTAAATGGCTGAGAATGAATTTGAACCATGGTCTATGGTAGAGGTTCTCAAACTGTGCTCCACAGAGCCCCAAAGGCTCTGCAAGTGATAGTGATTTGCTCTGTGGCACCATGCTGCTTCCCGCCTCCTCCTCCTCTTTCCTCCTCCTCCTCCTCAGCCTCACCCTCCTGAGAAATGCAAGGAAATTAAAGTTTAGAGCTGCCGAAATAGCAGCATCCTGCTGGAGCACCAACCCTTTCCCTCTCCTTACTCTCTCCTAAGACCAGCTCCTGTGTTAGTACTGTAGGCAATATTTTTTAAAAATGATTAAAATCTGAAATTAAATCAGGTCAGGAGAGGTTTACTGGGCATGGAATGAAAACCTGTTGTATGCAATAGCCTTAACAAAAGCAGCATGTCTACATTTCCCAAAACATGTTGCAAGAAAATGCAGTCCTTGCCTACAGAGCATCTTTGAGTTTTCAAAGCTTATGAGTTGTTTCATAGTGGCCTCATCTTGGGGAAAATACAAGGCACAAATAAAATCAATGAAATAGAGACAGAAAGAAGGGTGTGCAGTAGGGCTGGGTGGTTTCGTTCGTTAATTTTGTAATTCGTTATTAATTCGTTATTTTTTTATAACGAAGCGATATTGAACCATTCAGGAGCAACTAAAAAACGAAACGAATTTTTCCAATTCGTTTCGTTATTGTTTCGAAATTGTTTCGTAATTGTTTCGAAATTGTTTCGTTATTATTTCGTTATTATTTCCGTATGTCTGGTGCAAGTTTTATAGTCGTTGTTTGTTTTATCAGTGATAAAAAATAAATTATCACACCAACAGTCAACAACAGAGGGAGAGGGAAGCTTCAGAAGTTCCCCCTGTCCCATTTGGAGGGTTTTTTAGCGTATTGCGCAATCGTGTCTGCCATTAACGAATCGATTCGTTATTGTTTCAAAATTGTTTCGTACTTTCCGAAATTTCGTAAATATCGAACTTTTTAAAAGAAAAAATTCGGAATTCTTTTAAATAACGAAACGCAAAAAAACCCCTAAAAACGAATCGAGTTTAGAAACAAATTTTTCCGTGGTTGGACAGCCCTACTACAGAGCATCTTTGAGTTTCCAAAGCTTATGAGTTGTTTCATAGTGGCCTCATCTTGGGGAAAATACAAGGCACAAATAAAATCAATGAAATAGAGACAGAAAGAAGGGTGTGCAGAACAATGCATATATTTTTCAAAACGTGCAACTGATAGGCACAAAATTGGGCGGGAGTGTTTACACTTACCACATTTCAGTAAATGGGAAAATTCTGTAAATTAGGTGCACAAAGAAATGTGCCTATTAAGG